CTCCTGTGCTGTTTCCCGCCTTGCTCGTGCCCGAATACCTCGCGAATCAGTCGAAACCCGGTGCATGCGTGCTGCGCACGCTCGATATCTCCCCCCCACTCAAACTCGGCTGTCCACAGCCGATCGCGTTCCTCGCCCATCCCGCCTATATAACTGTCGATCGTGCCCATGAAGTCTGTTCCGCGCCACCACGATGTCCACCCGCCCGTTCGAGCTTGAGGATTCGCCCGAGCTCCTCTGCATCGCCTACGTCGCCCAGTCCTTGCTCTCGCAACCCGTAACGACCCAAGCGTGGCCGACGTTTGTCAAGAGGGTTGCCCCGTACCTCGTACGCTATCATTCCCCTTCAACTGATCTATCGCTCAGCCCGTATCCAGCCCCAACTCCTCGACAAGGTCCCCTACGACCACCCACACCGCGATGCAGCCGTCCGGCTCGTGCAAGGCTTCGTTACCGGCCTCCTTCTCGATCACCAGACCTCTGTGCGCCGCGGCAGTCCCCTGGATCACATACTCGAGTACCTCCCGTCGCTCGTACATGCCGCGCGTGACGAATTGGCGATCTTCGGCCCGCTACTACGCGATCTCACGGCTCCCGACCGCGATACCCCGCCCGAGATCGCCCAATCTCTTCGTTCCAGCCGCGAGAATGCCATTCAAGATTATTTGACGAATAGCATTTCGCGCGCGGACTTCCTTGACCGCTGGGATGGTATTCGGGCCCGCGAAGAGAAGGCCATAGTCCGGCCGCTCGAGCGGCGTATTTCCGGGCTCGAGAGCGCCTCGACGAACCCGCCGCCCACCACGCGACCGAACCGGGCTGGCAAAAGCACAAAGCGGAGGGACGCGGCGGCGAACTTGGATGCCGACCTGGACCGATACAGTCGCGATGCGCCCGACATGGAGATGGATGGGCCGTATTGATTGTCGTACTCGTCTCATAGTTCCTGTCGCCACGCCTCGTTCCGAAAAAATTTTACATTAAACATATTTGAACTATACGTCTGGCAACAGACAGCGGGCACTCGTAGAGCACCCTCTCCCCCCCACTCAGATCGTAAGCCTAGGTCTCCCCCCCACTGAAATCTATTCCTCGTCCTGCCCTTCCTCTGCCATGCGAGCCCTCAAACTGCCACCTGTAATGTCCTCCAAGTACCTCGTCGTCGCCGTCACTTCCGGGTCCACATCCGCTGTATCCTCCATTTCCGCCAGCCGTGCCTCGGAGATATCGAGCTCTGAAGGTAATGGTGGCCGGTCGAGTCGTCGCCGTTCGATGTAGGGGATAACCCGGAATGCTGCGACCGGTCGATGCAGGACTGTGCCGTCTAGCTCACATAGGATGAAGGCCCCGCCACGATTCCGCGAGATGACGACTAGTGGCCCGTAGTAGCGTGGTCGCTGTCGCTTGTTCAGGGACTTCTCCACCATAGAGTTGCGAACGAGAACCAGATGGCCACGGGTGAATGCGTCGGCCGAACGGTCGTCTAGCGTAGCCTTGTGCGCCTTCTCAAAACGTTGAGCATTCGCGATGCGGGCCTTGTACACCTTTTGTGAGATCTCTGTCATGCGCTCGGTACGTTTTTGCAGCGCTACTGCCCGTCGCGCCAGCAATTCGGCACTCGAGATCAGGGACGATGGTGCGGGCACCAAATATGTTGCTTCCAGCAGGTCGAATGGCATAACGGGCTCCGTTCCGGTGACCATGAAGTACGGGCTGCAACCCAACCGCCGACGTGGTGTAATACGCTCCGCCCAGAGCACGGTCGGCAGAACATGCGCCCACTTCGACTCGTCACCATCGGCAGCCTTGTAGACACCTTGTCGAAAGTCCAGATGCCCGCGCTCGGCGACGGCATTCGCACGCGAATTGTACCCCGAGATACGAATGTAGTGGATATGGTACTTCTTTGCAAGATAGTCCACTGCCGCGACGAAAGCCTTCCCGTTGTCCGACACGATCTCCTGAATTGCACCCCAGCGACAGAGAAGGTTGGTGAATATCCACTCGCCGAGCGCCGCCCCGGTCTCGCGTATTGGCGCTGCCTCGGGGTAGGACGAGAGTGCGCAACGTGCGTGAACCGCACGCTTGAACCCGCGAGAAGCATGCGAAAAGTGGAAGACGTCCATGTGCACCTTCGAGAAGAGGTTCGCTGGCAACGCCACCGATATAGGGAGAGCCGGCTGGGCCAACTGACGAATCTGGCAGAGGTGGCAGCTGCGCACGTACCATGCCACGTCTGCTGCTAGACCCGGCCACCAAAACCGCGCCGAAAGCATAGCTGCTACCGCGTGTACACCGTGATGGGCGAGGTTATCGTGTGCATCGAGTAAGACTTGCAACCGTCGTGACGGGAATACAACGATGCGCGGGCCGTGGTCTGCATCGCGGCGAAAGAGGCGACCCTCCGAGACGAAGAAATGACCCGCGAAGCGCAGTAGAGCCCGAACTTGCGCATCCGAGTAACCCGTGGGTGGCGTGTACGTCGACTCTTGATACAGGGCCAGCACGCGTGGTAACATGTCGTCCATAGCCGCCCATTTGTGACGTCGCGGGACCTCCGAGTAGTCCAATGGCGGGTCCAACGCGGGCGCGTCGGCGCGTATATCTCGCGGTGGCGGGGCCGCCTGTGCTAACACCAGAATTTCCTCCTGCGCGTGTACACGGCGGCTGAAGAGAGGCTTCGGGGGAGGATTGATCAAGTGTATGAACCCATATACGTGATCAATCCAGTCCTCCCACTCTTCGTCAGCCTCATTATTCTCGCCAGCCAGTCCCTCGCCCTCCTCGCCTGGTTGGCATAACCGCCTGGACATCCCATCCGCCACATGCCGCTCGCCGGGTACATGTCGCAGCTCGAAATGGAACATCTTGATCGATAGAGCCCAACGATTGGTAGCTGCCGCGGGCAGGATCTCCGGGTTCTTGAGCATCCCCTCGATGTACTGCGCGTCGACCTCCACGACCAAGTTGCGCACCCCAACCAGCCACAGCGCCACGTCCTTGAATGCCCGGAACAGCCCGTAGAGCTCTAACTTTGGCTGCGAGAAGCGCGATTCACGTGCATTAAGCAGTATGGACCCGAAACGAGCATAGCGGCGGGCCTGTGGCGAACCCGGGATATCCTTCTCCTGTGCCAAGAAGTAACCCACTGCATGCAGCGACGTGTCGACCCCGAGGATGACGGGCGAGGCAGCCACGTAGTCAATTGGCATTAATGCCGGCGAGGACAGGAGAGCTGCCTTGAGATCTTCGAGTGCGGCTTTCTGTTCTGGACCCCACACGAACGGCTGCCCTTTCCGTGTAAGCTTCACGAGCGCCAGCGAGCGTTTGCCGTAATCCTTGATGAAGACCCGACCCACGCCCACTGTCCCCATGAAGGCTTTGATCTCCGACGCCGTCCGGCACACCAACCACTTCTCCACCTTCGCCATGTTCCCCTTCTCTGGTAGTCGCCCTGCCGGGGTACAACGGTGCCCAATTGCGACGAAGTCTTCTGCGATGATCAATGCCTTCGGGCCCGAGAACGTGCCGCCCGCGTACTTCATCCGCTGAATGACCCGATTGACATTCACGAGATGCTCCCATACGAATCGCCGAACTCCTGGGTTCTCTGCAATACGCTCCTCCGACCCGTCCTCCAAGAGATAGCGAGTTGGTGGTCCTCGCAAGGGAGCATCGTCGATGAAGGGTACTGTGACGTGTGGTATTTCGGCTTGCAAGATGAATGTCACATCCTCATGGAAGATGGGTACACTGTTCGTCCAGCCCATAGGTAAGGTCACCAGCCGAAGCACGCCAAATGGTGTTTGGAAGGACGTATAGTCGCGTGAGGCCTTGTCGATCAACCGCTCGTCGTATCCCACATACAAATCCAACACGCCGCCACAAGCCCGACCCGCAAACTGCTCAGCAATTTGCTCCGTGAATGGTGGCACGCCCGAGTGCGCGATGGTAACCTTATTGAGCGGCTCGAGCGAATGGACCAGCCGCAGCGACTTCCCATCTTTCTTGACCACACAGAACCACTTCCCACGATACGACGAGTTTGATGGTTCGTACACGCCCGCGTCGAGCTTGCGTTTGATGAGTGCACACACTTCGTCGTAGATACCCGGAGGGATCGGTATATTGCGCTCGACCCATGGTTTGTGTGGCACAACCGGTATCTGTACAGGTGGAAAGAAGTCCGTACGAAAGGTGCCCCGCTCCGAATCGTCCCATGCAAAACCCGCCTCCTGCTGCCTCATCATCTCGTGCATCACTGCCCGCTCATCCGGTAGCAGGAAATCCTCGCCCATCAACCTGTCAATGACTGCCTTCCTCTCCTCTGTATAGCGCCCGCGCGGCTCGAATGGTGGTGGATTCGGGTTGAGCGGTGGCATTCCTGCCAAAGGATCACCCGTGATCTTTCGCTCGACCCGAAACCGTTCCGGAGTGACGTCCAGGACAGGCCGCACCTTGCGCGCCACCGGCTTATACTTCTTCGCGAACACCGGCTGCACCCCGTCCGACTCCTCGAGCATCCCGCTCGCAGGTACACCCACCTTGAGTGAACCTGACGAACCAGACGACCCGACTACGTCGTGTGCCGCAACCTCTACCATTCCACCCGCCTCGCTCGCTGCCGAAAAGAATGTAGGCCTATACGCATAGACCCGTGATGCCCGTGCATCCTCTGCCTCCAAAGGTGGCGCCCTAAGATAAACATAACCGTCGTCCGATGTCGACGCGAGCGGCGCCGCGCCCGAACCCAAAGCCGAAAAGAGTGTTGCGTAAGACCCGAGAGAAGAATCGGTGCATGCCGAAAGGTATAGGTGTGCGATGTCGGAATCCGGGCGAAGAGGTGCATAAGCCCCGATCCGCGGCTCGCCAGTGTCGTCGCAGTCGATCACTAGCGCGTACTCTCCCTGCTCGCTCAGATCATCGAGTCCCGAAAATCCTCCTTCGCCGGGGCCTTGCCGCGCGGGTGGGTGAAGATTGCAGTCCTGACCAACGTATTCGGGTCCGTGAGCGTAAGGTGTTGGCGGCCATCCGAGTAGTTCTTGATCTCGCTCTCGGAGAGGAGGTCAAAGGGCCGACCGAGTAAGACACTGTACGCATTGGACTTGACGACATGAACCTGCAGATAGAATGTGCACTCCCCGATACGACAGGGCACATTCTTGGCCATTCCGCACGTCATGTCGAACTTCCCGTTAGCCGACTGCATCCGAATCTGGATATCTGGGTTCCATAGGACACCCAACGCCTCCGCCGTCACCTCCGACATGGACACGATGGCCGAACCAGGGTCGAGTATACACTCTACCAAGCCTCGACCACCTATGCTCATGAGGATGGCCCGTAACTCGGCGATACGTTTGCCCGTCCTCAACTCGCCATCCAGACGTCTAACCTCCAACACCTTTCCCTCTTTCGCCATGCGTTCCGCCTCGATGTCCACATCTGAGCGTACGATAGCCGGGTCGTCATCGGCGATGGGGCGTGCATTGGAGTCAAACGCAAACGAGGCTACCACCACCGGTGACTCCCCGGGGAAGGGCAACACTTCGTCGGCATCGAACGCCGCCTGGCCGAAGCCCTGCAGCATGGTGTCCACGACCACATCCTGAACCGGTACATCTTGCACAACCGGCCGTCTACGCGTTGCCGCCTCACGGACCGCGCGTGCAACGGGCGGCGAGTTATGCAGCAGCTCCTCCAACGAACACTCGACTTTCGAGTCCAGCACTCGTCGGAGCAAGCCCTTAGCTTCACTCGCCACCTCGCCCGACGCCATTTTCTTCGCCGCCGCCTCGGCAGCCTGCCTCAACTTCGCGACCTCAAGCTCTGGCTCATAATTCGCGTCGGGCACCAGTGTTAATGGGTGCTCGACCTCCTCGTCAACGACCTCGATGTGGGCGGATGAAGGAAAGTCGCGATCCGTCGCGTCGCGCGATTTTGAACCAACGGTCACGCGTGACGCGTCCTCCTTCGCCGTGTCCGCGCTCGGCCTGTCCGCGTCCTCCCTCCTTCGTCCCGCACTCGCGCTCGCCCCCGGTACGTCTACGCCGGCCCCGCGCCGCGTCTGCACGAACGCGTTGGCACTGACATCTCCGGGCAGGTCATCCTCGGAGGCACCCAATGACCGAAGCTCGCGCACGAGCTCTTCGACTCGCTCGCGCCGGGAGAGCACATCTACGCCCGTTGCCTGGTCCCCGCGCGCATTGTCCGCATGGAACCCAGCTGCCGTAGTTCCCGATGTTGCCGCCGGAGAGATATCGAGCGCGTACTGCCGCGCGGCCGGCTGGTTCGAGCTGTTGGCACCTGCGCCACCCGCGAGCCCGTGCTGCCGCTCGTACCACGCGATCTTGTCCTCGAGCGTGACACCCTGCATCCATCCACCTACCCGAATACTCGTCCCCGCGATCAGACACTGCCCACGGTCGTCGCGCGTCACCCGACCCTCCTTCTCGAGAGCAGCCGCCATGGGACAGTCGCGAGCGTAGTGACCCTCCGACTTCTGGCAGTGGAAGCAATGATCGGGCCGGTTATTGAAAGTGCCGCCGTACTGGCCTGCTGGACCCCGACCGCTGTTATGCGGGGGTGCATCTCTCGCGGGCCATCCTCCGCCATATCCTCCACCACCAGCACCATATCCGCTTCCGCCGCCACCTTGCCCATACCCTCCTGCACCTGCCCCACCGCCGATCGAGCCGATATGCTGCAGCGCCGTCAGGGTTGTGGTCATCTGGCGCTCCATGTTCCGCATCCTCTCCTTATCCATCTCCCGCTCCCGCCGTTCTTGCTCGCGCTCCCGTTCGCGCTCGCGCCGTTCCTGTTCGCGCCGTTCGTGCTCAACCTCGCGGTTTTCCTTCATCATCGCCGCGAACATAGACAGGATATCCGTCATCTCCGTCTTCACCGCAACAGACCCCGCAGAAGCACCCGCTGAGGACGAACTCGGCACCGACATGTCCCGAACCGCGTACTGCGCACGTTGGTAGAATTGCTCGGCAGGGTATGGGACTCCTGGCTCGCGCGCCACGTTCGCAGGGATCACCCGCAAATCCGCTCGTATACGGGCAGCGAGCTCTTTCGGGAAGGCCTCCTCGTACTGCCGGTCGGCCGTGCTCTCCTCTATCACCTTCCGCCGCACCAAGGGTCCCTTAATGGCTAGAAATTCGCGCCACATGTCCGCCAGGTCCGCGATCGTCGCGAAACGTCCGAAAGTCCTCGTCTTGACCGCCCATGCCTCTAGATCCGGCACACCAACCATCAATGCAGACGATTGGGGGTATAGGTCCACGACCGCCTTGCGCCAATCCGCATACGCAGTGGGGGTCGTTGTGCCAGGTGGTGGAGGTGTACCCGTGACTGCCTGGGGTAGACGAGCATACTCTGGCATATTCTCCCACACCCGCAACACGTTCGCGGAGATGTAACGCAGGGTTGTTCGTGTCTTGTCCTCGTCGCTCGTGAGGTTGTACTTGCCGGCGAGAGCCTCGCAGTCGTCGAAGTAGCGTGAAATCTCGGACGGCTCAGAGCCATTGAAGTGTGGTGCCTCCCGAGCCCCACGCGTCGGGAGATCGTTGACCGTATGAGTAGCCATTGTCGAGGCCTGTTGTAGGTCGGATACAGCTAAGTCGCGTCGCTGAAATGAGAAGGAGGAAGGATGCCGAGTAGGCGAGACCGGCCCGTCAAGTTCGCCGAGTTGCCTGAGTTGGTCGCGTAGACTATGTGCCGATACCGGACTGCGCGCCGGTAGTTCTGCTCGCGGCGATAGAGTACCGTCGCGGTCCGAGAGTGGAGATAGAGGTCCCGAGAACAAATCCCTCCAAGGAGTATGATAACCTTCTTCGCTGTCCGAACCACTGCTCGACGACGACTTGTCGCTCGCGTTGACGACGTTCCCTGCTAAAGGCGAACTAGTAGCTGGAAGATTTCGTAGACGTCGACTGAAGCGAGACGGCTCCAGGGCACTGCGGCTCGCGGGTGCCGTGATGAATAGGCACGCGAACTGTCAAAGACGCGCACGACCACCCGAGTAGCAACTCCCAAGATCAGACGAAGGCCGAAAACCCCTCGCGGTGGGCTCCAGTTGTCGAGCTCCCAGAGAAACGATGCTCTCAACTCACCCACTCTAGCGTGAACTAGAGCCGGTC